AGTATGTAGTTAAAGTGGTAATATATTCTAATTTTAAAACAAATAATTTTTATATCAAACCAACAAATTTTCCTCTAAATCAAATGAAGAATGTTGAACATTCCTATAACTATGATGCAATATGGAATTTAGCACTGTTTTAGCTCCCTTTTCACATTTTTGTAGATGTAAAATTTAGAAAATTTTTATCTTATTATTAATCTAATTCAATAAATAAATCTATGTAATTCAACAAACACTTTACAAGGCGGTGCCGGATTATCGAATTTTTCGGACTATAGAATACTGCCATGCCCCTTGATAGTCTGGAACTTTTTGAAAAAGTGTACTTTATAATCCATCAGATTACATAATCAGATATGAAATATATAAAAAATAAAAATGTCATGTGATGCACAATGAATATCTAAACAGTGTGCGCAACAATGCAAGCTAGGTTACTACCATAGTTACATTTAAACTGAGACAATATGCATCAAGCTAGATTTGTTTTTTTTAAATTGCATCCTGACTGTCCATATATTCGTGAAAGACAACTGGCAGATTCATAATGTGATTCAATTCTACCTACATGTTAAATACATCTTAGATTACAAGGGGGGACGGATTAGCCAGGGGCCTGATTACCGTGGGTTCACTGTACATTACCCTTAGTGTGTTATTTTTTGCATTTACACTCCTTTTTTCTATTAATTTAAACCATAAGAATAAACATCCTTGTTGATTATTGCTTAATAAGATTATTGCTAAATCAAATGTCTTTATACCCGTCCCAATGGTCATTTAGTGAATAGAGGGAGAGAAAGTAGCTTTAGGCATTTTTTAAATTATTAATGTTGATTTTTATGAAAAAGCCAGAAATTTAGACAAAGTTATTGATCAAACAAACTGAACTTGCATCATGGATACTACAAACTAAACTTGAAATAACTTTGTACATTAAATATTAGGTCCTTACATATGAAATTGGCGTTTTGTCAAACTGGTCACTTTGATCTCAAATATCTGGTGTTTGATTACGAGGGGCACACTGAAATGATCGAGAATAAAAAAAAACACATGCATGGTATAGCTAAATTGTATTTTATTGTTTTTCGAAGTATTCTCCATTCAACTTAATGCACTTTTCCATTTGTGCAAACCAAGCATTAAAACATTAATTTCAGTCTGAAGTTGATGTTGACAAAATGGCTGATTTGTACGCTTCCACAACTGCTTCGGGGTCTTCAAACCGTAGACCGCGGGAATCTTAAAATCTTCTAGGGAATGTAAAAAAATTGTTCAGGCACAGGTCAGGACTGTACGAAGGATGGCTCATCAGATCAACGTTTTCCTGCTTCAAAAAATCATTTGTCTTCCGAGCCATATGGGAGCTCGCATTATCGTGATGTAAGATGATGCAACGTTTCGGGTTATTTTTTCGGAGTTTGGCTATCATTTCTGGCAAACAAATCATGATATACCACTCAGCGGTAACTGTTCTGCGTTCCTGTAAAGGAATTGTAGCAACATGCCCCTTTTTCAAGACAAACGTAGCGATTATTTTCTTTGACACGCTGCGGGTGCGAACCACTTTCGTTGGTTTGACCTCGTCTTCGAAGACTCAAACTGCTGACAGATTTTTTCTTTCAGGTTCGCATGAATAAATCCATGATTCGTCACCTGATATAATATTATAAACGGACAGATTTGACTTCCCTCCATTGAAACATTGCAGAGTATTCCGGCACCAATCTACATGAGCCGCCTTTTGCTCTTCGGACAAATTGTGGGGAACCCAGCGGGAAACTAGCTTTCTTACACACAGCTCATTATGTAATATCGACTGAATTGCAGTCATTCCGATACTGATAACAGCCCGAATCTGCTCATATGTCACATGACGGTCATCTAATATAATAGTTCGCACAGCTGCGATGTTTTCAGGCGTGACCGCTGTTCTTGGTCGACCTGCAGAAGAAACAGTGCTGAGCGACACACGACCGCGTCGGAACTAGGCATACCAGTGGTATATTGTCATTTGACTCTCCGTGCTTCAACATCATACATTGAAACAAGTTTGCTGAGACACTTATCTTGAGATAAGCTCCGACGAAAATTGAGATAAATTATGGCACGGAAATGTTCGCGCGTGAGCTTCATTTCTGTTAACGACGTCAGGCCTCTGTCACTGTTGCTACCTGCGTGAAATATGTAATTACCTAAAATCGCGAGGCGCCCTGGGCGTTATACGCAGTTGGGGCTAGCGCGTTGTAGGCGATTCAATTTTTTAACGTTGTTTACGTAAATAGTTTTATGTAAATACTTGTTGAAATAGTTTTTGTTTAGTGTTTAGTATATTTAATTGTAGGTAAAATAGTTGTAAAAGTTTTAATGTATTTTAAAAATTATATATTATGTATATTACCTATTTGATAAATTATAATAGCAAAACGTCGTTCCCACTATAACTGTTGCGTGGATGGATACTAAATGAAATAACCAACAAAAGGTTTCATATCATTATTTAAGTTACCGAAGAATTTTAGAAGGAAATGATGAAAGGTGAATTTATTTAATTTTTTTTGTTAGATAGGTACTTACAGCAAAAAAGAATTAAGTAATAATTTGGTCTACAGAAGAAATACCTAAGTACTTTATTACAAAAATTAGTTAAAATTTACTTCACTATCCATCCATTTACTTACATACATACCTATACTTGTATTTTGTAATTAAAATACTTTAAGTTATAATGACACAAAATACTGTAATTAAAATTTTGTATACTAAGAAGATTTTTAAGTAAGTAGAATAGATCACATTTTGTTAGGAATCGTATTTCAGGTTTATTTGTTGTTCACACTATCTACCTATTTCTTCCGAACCAAGCGTTGCAATTCCCGACGAATGATCTTGCAATTTGCATGCGTTAGACATCGCAATGCTCACATAGGGGCGAAGTATGATCAGTCAATCACAGTCAGAATAGCTTCTTCACCTAAGTAACATAAAGAACATTTCGCAATGTATTTTTTTACTTTCTATTGACATCCCTTAATAACCACGGAAAGTCCGCCGTGACTTAGGAAGCGGAAAAGACGCAAAGTAATATGGACAAAAACGCGCAGCGAAAAAGATTTATTTAGTTTGCGTGCGTGATTTATCTGATTAATAATAATTATGCAGGCTATTAAACGTCGGCAAGCAGTTGATAGAAGTGCAACTTCTGTACGTAGTACTATTATTTATTCTGTGACGACGTGTCAACTTTAAACCAATATAGTTTTTGTTTTTAAAGATTTTTTTAATTGTTTGAATGTCATTAAGATTCTAAGAGGCCAGTATTCAAATTCTAAAAAAGGTATTATTGTAACTCAATCCGAAATATTCTATTCCCAATCATTTCAGTGTGCTAACACAGGAACCTGAAATTCAAATTTATTGCACACTTGGCTTGTGTATTTGTGTTTCGAACTTATTTATTCATTTGTGTTCGCGCCATTTGATTTTTCTTTGCAAAATGGGTATCGCATGAATTGAGTAAAGCACACCAATAAACATGTGTCTAGTGCTCAACCGTCCGTTACATTACTCAACCGTCTCACAATAACCAGGATTTTGAATTGTATTATTACCTGTGATAAAAAATGGATACTGTATGATAATCGAAAACGCTCATCACAATGGTTGAGATGTGAATGAATAAAGAAGTACCGGCCAAATCCTGCACCAAGCAAAAGGTGACTTGTACTGGTACTGGATGACACCAGCACTGCTCTACTCATCATCATCCACTACAGCTTCCGAAGATCTAATCAGACGGTTATGACAGATTGTATTGTCAACAATTGAAAACCCTGAGGGAAATGCTAGCCGTTTACAACAAAGACAGGTTAATTGGTCTAGCCCATTGCTACTTCAGGACAAAGCTAGACCACATACTGCACAACAGATGGTCACTAAATTATAGGACCTGTGATTGGAATGGCTCTGACACCCATAAAACTTCCTAGACCTTGCTTCAACAGATTACCACTTTATCATGATTTTTGTCAATTTCTTGCAAGGAAAAAAATATTTTCAATGAGGGAGTCAAAACTGCCTTTTATTTTAGATTTTATTGATTCTCGATCCCACAATTTTCAGCAAAGGAATCAATGAACTACCTTAAAAATGACGAAAGTGCATAGATAACAATGGTTTGGCAAATGGCAAAATTGTTTTTCGCTTTGCTTTTTTCATATAAAACCCTGGTTTTATTAGTAAGGACCTAATGTCAATTTGTAGTTTTCAGTTATTTTTCATTTCAAGTTTGACCAAGTCACTTAGAAGTAGTCTTGATTTTTGATGAGTAAGTTTTAAAAATGGCACTTTAACTTAAGAACCATAATAAACTTACTCATGAAATTCGAATTGTAGGTATCCAATGACTAATTGTTTTTGGTTATGGGGTCTAAAGTAGCTCAAAATAATTCATGTACATCAATCACACTGCAGCACTTGTCTTTTCCAAACTTGGCAGACAATGTTTTCAAATAATATGTGATTAAGTTCAATAATATCTTGTTATGTTCAGTACTCATTCATACCTCAAAACAATTTTTTTTCAGATTTTAAATTAATCATGTACTCATTTAAATGTAAATTGTATTTAACTTACTTGCTAACTTACTACCTAACATGAATTACCTGCAATGAACAATGGTAACATGAAATTTAAATGAATATTTAATAATATTCATCTCAATTTCATGTTTGTAATCTAATGATTACAATACCTACCTATTCATAAGCTTTAAAATTTAATTGGGTACAAATAATAAACCTTTAAAATGTTATAACAACATTAATATTTTTATTTACTTTCCAGATAAACTTCTATCATGCATACTTCAATGAGTGGAAACGAAATTCGAAAAACATTTATTGATTTTTTTATCAATAAAGGACATAAATATGTGCATTCTTCATCTACCATACCGTTGGACGATCCATCTTTGCTTTTTGCCAATGCAGGCATGAATCAATTTAAGCCAATTTTTTTGGGATCAGTAGATCCTAATTCTGATATGGCTCAATATGTGCGAGTTGTAAATACTCAGAAATGTATCAGGGCTGGCGGAAAGCATAATGATTTGGATGATGTAGGTAAAGATGTATATCATCACACTTTTTTTGAAATGATGGGAAATTGGTCTTTTGGAGATTATTTTAAAAAAGAGATTTGTGCATGGGCTTGGGAACTGTTAACTGTTGTTTATAAATTGCCGGCCGATAGATTATATGTGACATATTTTGGAGGAGATAGTGCATCAGGTCTTGAACCAGATTTAGAATGTAAAAACATTTGGTTGAATATAGGTCTCCCAGAATCTCATATATTGCCAGGAAGTATGAAAGATAATTTTTGGGAAATGGGAGAAACTGGTCCTTGTGGACCTTGCTCTGAATTACATTATGACAGAATAGGAGGACGAAACGCAGCACATCTTGTTAACATGGATGATCCAGATGTTTTAGAAATTTGGAACTTAGTGTTTATACAATTTAATAGAGAATCTGATGGATCACTTAAATTATTACCAAAGAAACATATTGATTGTGGTCTAGGACTTGAAAGGTTAGTTTCTGTTATTCAAAATAAAAGAGCTAATTATGATACTGATTTCTTTATTCCCATATTCAAAGCAATTGAAGTAGGCACAAAAACGAGACCTTATACTGGTAAGGTCGGCGTTGAAGATGTTGATGGAATTGATATGGCATATCGTGTACTGGCTGATCATGCAAGAACCTTGACTATAGCTTTATCAGACGGTGGATGTCCAGATAATACTGGTAGAGGTTATGTGCTTCGACGAATTTTAAGGCGGGCGGTACGATATGCTTCTGAAAAACTAAATGCAAAGCCTGGCTTTTTTGGTTCACTCGTTCATACAGTAGTGCAGTTGCTTGGTGATGTATTTCCGGAAATTAAAAAGGACCCAGATGCGATTATACAGATTATAAACGAAGAAGAAATTCAATTTCTAAAAACACTTTCTCGTGGAAGAAATTTGCTTAACAGAACTATAGAAAAGTTAGGTGGGTCAAAGATCGTACCAGGTGATGTAGCTTGGCGGCTTTATGATACCTATGGATTTCCAGTTGACTTAACTCATTTAATGTGTGAAGAAAAAGGGCTGTCTATTGATATGGAAGCTTATGAAAAAGCTAAAAAAGAATCACAGTTATGTTCCCAAGGTAAAACTGTAGGCCAGGAAGATCTTTTGGCGTTGGACATACATGCTATTAGCCATTTACAGAATAGTGGAGTACCTATTACTGATGATTCTCCAAAATATAGTTATACGCCGACTTCAAAAGATAAAGAGGCTATTTATAACTTTGCTCCTTGTACAGCGACTATTCTAGCCTTGAGATGGAATAAAGAATTTGTAAATGAAGTAACTTCTGGTCAGGAATGTGGCTTAATATTGGATCGTACAAATTTTTACGCCGAGCAGGGAGGCCAAATTTTTGACGAGGGATATATGGTTAAAACAGCTGATGATAGTGTTGAATTTACAGTTAAAAATGTACAAGTCAAAGGTGGTTACGTCTTACATACAGGGAAAGTTGAGGGTACCATGAAAGTTGGGGATATATTATCATTACATATAGATACCGAAAGGCGTCGACTCATTATGAATAATCACACTGGTACGCATATACTAAATAATGTGTTGAGAAAAGTACTTGGAAATGACTCCGATCAACGTGGATCTCTTGTGATGCCTGATCGATTAAGATTTGACTTTACAAACAAAGGTCCTATGACTACGAAACAAATCAAAGATACGGAAGATGAAATTAAGGATATTATAAATCAAAATAAAACTGTTTATGCTAAACATACTAGTCTAAGCGACGCAAAAAAAATCAAAGGCTTGAGAGCTATGTTTGATGAACATTACCCTGATCCAGTTCGCGTTGTTTCCGTTGGGATACCAGTGGAAGAATTGGAAAAAAATCCAGATGGCCCATCAGGTTACGAAACATCCGTTGAATTTTGTGGAGGTTCACATTTACATCAAACTGGCCATATAGGAGATTATGTTATAGTTAGTGAAGAGGGAATTGCAAAAGGTATTAGAAGGATTGTTGCTTTAACCGGACCAGAAGCTGTTAAAGCTTTAAATAAACTCAGTGTTTTGGAAAATGAAGTTAATAATATTGCCAATTATATTAAAGATGAAGGTGATGGAGTGAATCAAAAAGAGATAGTAAAGAAACTTGTAGATCTAACTAATGATATATCTCACGCACAAATATCATATTGGAAAAAAGAAGAACTTAGAAATATGTTAAAAAATTTGAAAAAGCAACTAGATGACAAAGAAAGAGCATCTAAAGCGATGATAATAACACAGGTTACCGAAAAGGCTAAAGAATTATGCCTTGAAGAAAAGGCATCTCAAGTAATTGTTGCCGAATTAAATGCATTAAGCAATACTAAGGCTTTAGATGGTGCTCTAAAACAAGTCAAACAGTTGCTACCCAATACCGCTGCAATGTTTTTCTCTGTAGATGAGGAGGCTAACCGAATATACTGTCTGGCAGCTGTGCCTAAATGTTTAAATGAGAAAGGATTATTAGCTTCTGAGTGGGTGCAATCAGTAGTTGGTGTAATGGGCGGTAAAGGTGGTGGTAAGCCTGAGTCTGCACAGGCCTCTGGAAATAACTCCAAGTGTGTTAAGGAGGCAATCAAAATTGCAAAAGAATTTGCATATTGTAAGTTGTAAGCACTAAATTATATTGTTTAATATATTATTATATAATAGTTATTGTTAACCACTATAATTAACGTAAAATAAACTTTGCTTACCCTATAAAAGTGTTTTAAAATTTTCCTATTTGAAGTAAATTCCACAAATCTCTGTCTCTCTCTCTCTCTCTCTCTCTCTATATATATATATATATATATATATATATATATATATATATATATATTCCTATATCGGGACCTAAAATAATTTCTTTGTGTCAGTCTGTCCCTTTGAATGTAATAGACGCAACTACTGGATGGATTTTGACGAAACTTACAAGGGTTTTTTCTAATAGCTCATCTGTTAGAACTGAAATGTTCTCCTTCGATTAGTTTAGCTTCTACTACTGGGCACGGGCATCTTCACACGGACGGAGCGGGACCTCAATTTGGTGTGGACAAAATGAATTTCGCGAGGCCCCTGGCGACGAATAAATATTATTTATATTTGGATTTTCATTACAACCACTGCTGAATGTAGGACTCCCGCAACGACTGTCACGGTCTTGTGCCACCTACATACCTTCCTGCATGTTTTACCTCGTCGTTCATCCGTCCTCCATTTAACCTTGCTTCGCTTACCAGGAGGCTTCCACTCGGGAACCTTTCTTCTTTATGGGTGGTGGGTTCTTCGAGTTTTTACCTGCTTATTGCGCATTTTTTATTGTAATATATTGGACGATGTCAATTACTCTGGTTCTGCTGCGGATATCTTTGATACGAAATCTGTTACGCAAAGTAACTCTGAGCACCGAACTTGCCCATACCTCGCAGAATGACTTTGAAAGCTTTCTCATGTGTTCAAAAGTAAAGGACAATGACTCGGTTCCATAAGTCATCGCTGGCAACACGCACTAGTTGTACTCTTGTTTTGATATTTATTGCACTACCCAGTTAATTCTAAAAATATTACAATAAAAAAAACATTTCGTTCATATTATATTTCACTACATTGCCGAATGATGTAAAAAGATAGCGTGATTAAAATAAAAAAAGAGGACAGCTAGTGTCACTTGCACGTAAGTGTAAATAAATGTCACTCAGGCCACCAATCGTTTGATAGAACCCACTAGTTAGTCTGTGCACCAATCACTCAGCTATGTTTAGAGTGTACTCGTCTATATCGTCCTCGCATTTAATTTATTTGCAGACAACTCTTTTTTTTATAACTTCCACAAATTTATATTTTAATTTTAAGCTTAAATGGCAATGGGCTGACTGTATAGCTCGAAAATCCGGCAACCGATGGGGAAGAAGGATTTTCAGTGACAGCCTCGTACCGTTGAGTAAAGTGTAAGGCAGTCCCCTACTAGGTAAAGTGACGACATGGTAAGGCAATGTGGAAGTCGATATATGCAGGGGGCTCAGGACGGTGCTTTGTGGCATTCCTTGGAGGAGACCTATGTTTAGCAGTGGAGTTGTGAAGGGCTCAATGAATGAGATAGAAAAATAAATAATCGTCCCACGAACGCATTGCGGTCCGCGACATGAAACTCCTTAAGTTGCCCTGATCCAGGTAGGTTGTAAAAGTGTGTGATCTACACATATCATATGTATAAATAAAATTTCACGTGTCTGTCTGTAATATGAAAATAATTGCCTTATTTCGAGCTAAGATCGTTATTTGCATGTCAATAAGAAAATTAATGACAATTTTTAGGGTTCCGTAGTTAGATATTATATTATGTTACATTATATTATGTTCTAAATATAGCCTTTCGATATATTAGTATCACACTCACATATGTATTTTAATAACGCAAACTCACATATGTGAAAATAAATAGAAAAATAAATAAAGATAATATAAAACAAAAAGTAATAAAAACTAGAAGAATTTCTTTCCGTTTCCGTGAGCGAATTGGTGTCAATACAGTAGACCTTCGGTAATCCGGCCCCTGGCTAATCCGCACCCCCTTGTAATCCGACATGCCTTAAATGATCCATATGCCAATCCGTTATGGGGGGGGGGGGGTTCTCCGCGAATACGTGGACAAACAGGTTGCATTTATTTCAGGCCATTGTCTCAGTTTAAGTGTGACTGTGAGGTTAGGAAAATAATTGAAATATACTAATAAATCTAAGCATATTGCATACTTGCATGTGATATGAGATTCCTTGTTTTGTTAACTTTAGAATCATAATTGGTACATCTTTTAAATACACACGATGTCATTTTTATTATTGTTAACGATTTCTATACAGTGTCTTTCTTGCCGCTAAAACCGCCGACTAAAGACAAAACGTCGCAATTAAGACGTTTTCGAGTCTTCACTACGCGCTAATAACATAATATCTGCTTTTTTTTGTATATAATATAATTGCACCCAAACTAGTCCAAAACCATGTTTCAGGGGCCAGTAACTTCTCTCATAACATTGTACTATCAATTTATGCCTTAACATTGCGTACATTATGAGTTATTAAAGAACTACTTTAAACAAGAAAACAAAAGTCCGATAAGTACGTCGTTTGACCACTTGGTCGAAGTTGAAATTGCTGGGATAATTTTTGTGTCTCCCATTAAAAAAAACAATTAAGTTTAACATTTTATAAGGGACACCGGTTACACTGTGCGATCTAAATTGTTTACATGGTTTTTTTTATAGAAGAGGGGCAAACGAGCATATGCCTCACCTGATGGTAAGTGATTACCCATGAGCAACTGCAAGACCAGGGGAATTGCAGATGCGTTGCCGGCCTTTTAAAAAGGAGTAGGCTTTTTTCTTGAAGGTCCCTAAGTCGTATCGGTCCTGAAAAATCTCTGGTGATAGTCAATTCCACAAGAAAGTTGTGCGAGGAAGAAAACTTGTTTTAAATCGCGCGGTGGTGGACCGCCAGTCATCCAGATGGTATGGATGATATCGTGAGTTTTGACACGATGTGCGATGGTGAAATTGTGCGGCTAGAATTAGTCCGAACAATTCCTCAGAGCAGTCTCAGTGGTAGATGCGATAAAATACGCAAAGAGATGCAACATCTCTTCGCAGAGTCAGTGAGTCAAGCCGATTGGAAAAATCTCGGTCGCCGACGATTCGAACTGCTCTGCGCTGGATGTTATCAAATGGAAGGAGTTGGCACTGGGGAGCCCCAGCCCAGAGATGGGAAGTGGGAATATTAGTGCGGCCGAACCTGCGCCTTGTAAAGTTGCAGGCGGTGAGCCGGTATGAAATACTGTCCAGCTCTGCTGAGCACGCCAAGCTTTTTAGAGGTCAATTTGGCCTTCTCTTCCAAGTGACTACGAAACTTCTTCCAATACTGGCTGAGGCAACTAGGGGAGTGCCTTGAAACTGAGGAGATACGACGAAGGGGGTTTTTTTAGCGGTAAACGCGCAAACTTGTGACTTCTGGGGATGAAACTGGACTAGATTTAGTCCCCCCCAGTCCGAGACTTTGTACATAACTTACTCAATATATGCCTTACGCATGGTTTATCATGAATCAAGACATGTCATGAACAATCATGAAATACACTGACTACATTGATAAAAACAGAACTAATCAACTATAAATTGTAGTAAGACTAATTTTGTAAGTGAGAATAATAATTAATTCGTTTGCACGAATTAATTATCCAATTTGTCTAGGATGAGCTAGCAGCGGAATACAACAAGTGCACCGTGCCAAGCCAGGGCCAAAACTGCCTTCACGGCTTTTTTTACGCCCAGAAGCATAAGTAAAGTGCTACCCTCTGGGAAGCGGGGCAGGGAGGTGGTGAATACTCTAAGCATATCACGCAGCCGGCTGCGTGGTTATGAGGGACTCACTGAGACACCTCAGTGCCTACCCACTAAACTATATTTGATATATTAAATCTACAAACACTATAATATTTTACTTCGTTTCAACATATTTTCTAATAATTGTAAGTGCAGTATCTCAACAACCCCAATACAGGTATGTCATGAACATATCTTTTACTGACGCATTAATCTTTGGAAACGTAACCGTTACGGCCTGGCCACGGGGATCGGCGGCGCGAACGGCGAAGCGACAGGCGGGGCGAAAATTCGCGCGGCGCGATTTGAGGGCCACGGGAAGTCACGTTTGCCGCCGCGACCAGATAGGCCGAGAGTGAAATGTCTTTATCACAGTTATCTCGATATTGCTTAGAAAGTAATTGTTTTTTGATTCAAGACATAATATTTTAATGAGATTGCGGAGTACTTGATTTGAATAGGAATCGGGTTATAGATCAATCTATAACCCGATATAATTCTCAAGAATTCCACAACAAATAGAATGCATATAGAAAAAAATTTCGAGTAAATACCAGAATGAGTGTTGAAACCTGCGATTATATTCTTGTTAATATTCAACCAGAATTGGAGATAAAAGTCAATGCGGATAGAATTTTAAGTTGTTTTTGTCGGGCCGGCATTTTTCGCGGTGAAAACAACTAAAATATTTTGTTCCCTATACTATTCGCCGCGTCTGCCGCCGCGATTGCCGCCCGACCCGTGGCTTGCACCGTACTGATTCATACATTTGTTTCAATCTCCCGCCGCGCCGCCAGTCGCCCGCGCGATTCGCCCGGTAAATTTCGCCGGTCGCGTCGCCACTCGCCGCTAAGCGTGGCATGCTTCATACATTTCTATACATTTGTTTTAGTCGCTAGACGCCTCGCCGTTCGCGCCGCGCGAATTTTCGCTACGGCGAATGACCCGTGGCAAGGCTGTTAGTAAGACACTATGTAGGTTAAACTGAGCATAGTGCTAGGTTTCAAATCAGCTTTTTCGGGAGTGAAGAAGCAGGTTCCGATTAACTCACAGGCTAACTAGGAGCGCTGAGCTTGCCTTTGCAAACACTACTTAAGTACACAATAAATTTAAAATTGCTTAAAAATATTACTTGTTGCTTTTTTTGTTTATTTTTTGATACAAAACAATTAAATAGATAGTAAAAATAAAACTGAATTATTTGGTACCTTTCAGGTAAAGAAGTAAAAATATGTCAAGTAAGAATAGAAAGGGAGTT